TTGTAGGTGGGTAGTTTTTTGTCACTACCGGAGCAGCTTCTCTTTGTGCACCCATATATGTTCGACTTTCTGTTCGAGCTTGTTTCTGCAGTTGCTGAATGGATCAAATGATGAGCTGTGCTCCTGTGTTTATCGAAGATGTCATCAGTATAAAGTATGCAGTGGTTGTTTGTGGCACTAACACCTGGTACACTTCTGCTGCTGGCGTTTCCAGTTCTACTTGGACCAATTTCTAAAAGGTTAAATACGTGATATATTAATAGGAATAAAGCTTAACTGGTTGGTTGTTAAGTAGCTGAAAGTTGTTTTTATTCAGTCTAGATTTTCTATAGAATGTGGCATATTCTTAAAAGAAAAAGTTATCACAACCCTGGCATGTGACCTGGTGCCAAGTAAGGTTAATAATTTTATGTTCAAAAGGTGATCCAGATTTGCAGCAGGTTACCGTCACTGAGAAATTGCAGTTACTCTTTCATTTTATTTTTTGGTGTCACACTGACACACAAAAAAATGAATGTTTAAAAAGTGAAGTATCATTGGTTCTATAGTTTCATGTTCTCAAAATCAAAATTTCTGTTGGAGTAACAAACTTTGTTTTTGTCTTTACTTGACTCAAAATCTGGTCAAATGTGGAGTTCAGGTTGGGCAGTGTGGGTCTGTTGGTACGGCACCAGATCTTTATATTCCTGAGATGGCTGAGGGGATCATTGAATTTTTGTTGACTGCTGTTCTATGGATCTCGAGGAGGCTTAAATAAAGCTTGGTGGCCCGTCAGGCCAATAGTACACTGGGGGAAACCCTGTATTTGGTGTTCTCATCTCAGTTGAGATTGGTGTTCACTGGAGCGGCTCCTTCTCTCAGATCCTGTTTTGTGGTAATCAAGATTTAATTGTGGAGAAGAAGGGATCTAATTTAGGAACCTCAAAGTCAGATATTTGCTTTTTTCTTTGCAGATGATGTGGTTCCATTGGTTTCACCAGGCCATATCTTTCAGTTAGTTGAAATCTCTTCCTGTCGTGTTCTTGGGTGATGGTTGGACAAAGCAGACAGACATATTTGGACTTCCTCTGCAGAAATATGAGCACTGCTCCGGTCTGTCATTGTGAAGAAAGAGCTGAACCAACGTTCTGCCAGCGTTCCAACTGGGCATGTTTCATTTGGAGGGGACTCTAAGGCAGATCCAGAACACACTGGAGGGGTCATATATCCCATCTAGCCTCGGAATGCTTATTGATCCCCTGCAATGGGCTGGGGAGTGTCTCTTGGGATAAGAATTTCTTGGTTTGCCTGGTTTTCCTCCTGAACCTGTTAAACCTGCAACCTGATTTTGGATAAACTAGAGGATAGAAATAGACAGAAACATTATGAACATTATGTAGTCTGCCAGTGTTTTGATACATAAAATGGTCCCCTGCCTTCAAAGACAGTGTAGGTTGAGGAAGTTCAAGTGTTGCTGACCACATGTGCAGCTGCTCAGGTGTGAGCAATTCTGATTATTTTTCAAAAATTGCAAATGTCTACACTTAGTTGATCGTCTCATTCCACTTATTTAAATCGGCTTCAAAGAAGGACTCAACAGTAGTCCTATAATAACAACAGACTTCATATTATACAACTTCATATGATGATGATGGTTGTATAATAGTGCTGGTTACAGTAAAACCATTTTTACCATAAGTTTATTTTATTGTTCTAAGACATGATGGATTCGTTTTACAAGGATATGGCCAACTGTCATTTCAGTGTTAGAAGATAAACTCTGCAAATTGCTTGAGTTCTGCTTTTGAAAGCATGTCCATTGTAATGGGTTTCATTTGGACAAGTGTCTCTGTATTTGCTTTCTCCTTCAGAGTGTCTGCAAGGGCAATAAGTGGGGCGGAAAAGGGGTAATTTTTTTCTGCCTTGTCATTTATCTCCACTGGCACACGAGCAGAAGGAGTTGAGAGGAAGCAAGATGGGGCCCAGGGAGTGCCCACACTCCACTGATTGATGTAAAGGAGCTTATCTCGCTTGTTTGTACATGAGACGTCCAAGAGTTCACAGTTGAATGTTTCACACCAGCATTAATACATTTTCTTTCCCAGGATCCAGTCTACTCAATAGGCTGTCTCCATTGACAGAGCGAGTCATCGTAGTATAACATGATAAATGCCTTTTTGTCACCCCCGAGTTTAGATAAAGTGGGTCTCTTTATCTCAAAGTCCTTGTTCACTTGTTGGGTACCAACTAGTTGAATGTACTTACAAAACAGACCCTCTTATTGTTTCCTGAACGGATCTTAACAAATATGGCCTCATTCAAAGCTTCTGCTCCCCCCTCCAGGTTAAGAATTTAGTATCATAAGGTCAGCATGTGATAGATTCATGAGATTACCGAAATGGTATTCTTCCAAAACAAGACACTTCAAGTGTTTGCTTTGTACCAGCAAAGTCTGTTCGAGCTCACAGGATCAGCCACAGCATTAAAACCAAGCAGGTTGCACAATGTATGGCTACTAAAGAACCCCAAGACAGTTTGAATCAGGGAGGGAGTCCTGTGTTTAAGCATTGCCAGATTAACATCATTGTAAGATAATCAATCATCCTCCATAGATCCCACTCTGAATTACAGTAAATATAATGTATAATTTTTTTTATGTTGCCTAATGTTTGGGGATTTTTCCTCATCGAGAGTGTTACATTAAAATAAATCCCTGTATTTGATTCACCTCCTCCTGTCTTTTGGTTAAATAAGATATTAAACAAAACAGATTTATGTAGTTCAGGCAAAGTGTTAATGTTATTTAACTGATATTATAAAATTATTTAGCTAAGTTTACTTATCGTTCTATATGTTTCAAGTATTTTTAATCACTTTTACCTTATCAAATTAGAAATTCCTTTTTTTTCTGCGATCCAAATCACATAAAACCAAATATGCAAATTAGGCAATGACGTCATCTAGCAACTTCTCACCAATAAGCTACTTTTGTAGGCGAGGACTTGGCAACAGGTCAGGAGAATTTTTCTGAACAATGGATATTCGAAAGATTTTCAAGAAAGTAAGTATTAATCATCACTGCTGGTAGTAACAATTAGTTAGTTTCAGTCCCCAGCTAACAGCATAAAGGACCATGTAATAAACGAGCCACATGCTCCCGGTTTGACAAATAAAAACTTACACTCTCCGTACGAGAGAAAGTTAGTTCCCGCTCTAAAAGGTCGCTGCTACTTCGCTAACTAGTTCGTCTACTGAAGGTCTTGGTTGTTTAATATTTCCTTATGGAGAATCGTATATATTGTTTCACTTTGCACATGCGTGCTTACACACCGTGAACCGGGTTCTGAGCTCATTTTAGGGTTGCCACCCGTCCTCTTCGATATGGAATCGTCCTTTATTTGGCAGTTAAATGTTGCGTTAAGTATAGAACAGATGGAATTTGTTCCGTCTTTGATTTTTTAAAAAATATAAATGTCCAAAAGATAAAGAACAAAATAAAACGCATTGTAAATATTAAAGTCGACAAAATTGTCGTAGCGGGACCTACGAAGGGTCCACGGGCCGACACGGACCAGTGCTGCTTGGTTTCGCTGCTGTGACGGTTGCCTAGAGACCGACGTGACGCAGCCGACGTGAGCTGCCCTTAGTACCTGCGTTTTAAAAAAAAAAAAATGTCCACGCCATATCTCACCACGTCCTTAGAAGCGAAAACTCTTGTAAAGATACAGACGTGAGTGGGAAGATGGGCTGAACAGTGTTGTTTCTTGTTAAAATATTTATACAAGGCATTAAAACAAACAAACAAACAAACAAACAAAAAAGATGCCGGCGATATTCAGTGGCGCGAGGTGGCTGTCTGCTATCGTAAAAGCTCAGAAGAGCCAGGGATCGATTCGGTGTGACTTCTTCATTTCTCAGTCGTCTCCTGAGGCTGATTTATCACAGAACATTATGTTCTGATTGAATCGGTTTTCTGTTGCGCTCTTAGTATAATACTGTGGTTTGCTTAATTGTTTAGGATGTTTGAATAATCTATATAAATTGGATTAGCACATATAAATGACAATTTAAAGAACATATGCCAATAGATTAAACAATAAAGAGATAAATATTACGAAGGAAAAATGTTTCTTGTTAAAATATTTATGCAGTTTCTAGAAGAAGTGTGATTGGGCTTTCTGTGTGTTTTATTTAATAAGGGAGTGGGAGCAGTTCTTTTGCAACACACTTTGTACGTATGTGAGTAACTTCACTGAATAGAGAAAAAAAAATGCTCTCCTCATAAATGGACCAGACCAAACCCACAGTCCATGGACAGTTCTAGACACAGACCATAATAAATACATTTTTAATGTTAATATTCACTGGCAACAAAACCACAGCTCGCTGTTCCCTTGGATCAATTACATTTTTTGCCTTCACAATTTTACTTTAGCCATGAATTCAAAATGAAGGTAGCAAACCTAGCCCACTTGGTGTAAATATGGCCTTGAACCAGCTTCCAACTAATTCTATTTGCATGTATTATTTCAAATTAGACTTTAAATACCAGAATTTCCACATTACTTTATATTTTTGATTGTCTGATGGCATGAATTTAAAATATTAAATCGGATCAGCTGCTTAGTACTTAAGTATCCATTTTTACCAAATATGTGTTTTAGGCTCGCTTAATTGCTGGGACAGTTACTTTCTACTTCTGTTTGAGTAAAAACACGCTGAAGTTGTATTACTCTTACTGGAGTAGTGAATGATTGCTTTCTTGATCACTCTTTTACAAGAAAAGCATAAAATAAAATGCAGACCCCTGCTGAGGGCACCCCCACCCCATGAGAGGTGGGCAACTCAGGCCGTGGTGGTCATGGCCTTGAGGAGCTGCGGTGGGCTTCCATTATTTTCATTTCTGAAAGGTGGCGACACTAGCTCCTTCACGTCTCATTATGGCCACTTGATGAATAATATTATGTAATAATGATGATAATAATAACAACAACGACTTGACCGTCCCTATTGACCTGTAGGAGTCAGGACAGAAGAAAATACCGAGTGATTCAGGACACAACAGAAAAGAGCAGCAGAGTGGAGAAACCACATCTGGGAAGGTGAGTCTAAGTCTAAGGGTCTCTATTGCTGGGATAGGGCTAGACTAGCCTCCAAGTACCTGATGGTCGGTGGTATGGTATAAATATAGTGACAATATTCACTAAAATTGCTTAAAAATTGAGCTTTTTAAGAATCATTACATTATTTGCCCTTGAGTTTTAATACTGTTAAAAAAATATAAGAATATTAAAATAAATATAATAGAATTGCCATTGTCATATGGCCAACGAAGTTAAAAAAGTGCCATTATTCTCTCAATAAAATAGCTAATATATGCTTTAAAAAAAAAGCCTTCATACGCACATCCACACACATTCAAGTCAGGTACAGGCCTTGTTTTGGACTGCATTACATCCGTCTTTTTTTTTTTTTTGCCGTCGAGGCGTGAAGTAATTACAAAAACAATGTGATCAGCGAAAAACAATATTAAAGCTACTTTGCATCATTCAGTGTAGGGTTCTTCTTTCTCTCTTCAAATCTAAAGAAATTTCAATAACTAGGATTTCACCTGTAAAAACGTTCCCTCGCAGAAGAAACCTTCACAACTGACAAGCAGACGCCTCTGCTACCAATATTATCTCCCTTTTACTTCTCTTTCATGTGGATGCTATTATAAAGAGTGAAATCCACTTGAATATTTGAAGAAAATCCTCATCTATTAGATTGAATTCGCATAATAAATTCCACAGTGATGGTATTCCGCATTTCTGAGCAAACGGGTTCCTCGCTTAGTTTTTGAGAACAGACAGCAGCTGATTGGCTCTAGCATCATCCGCTTTGTATACAATAAATAACCCATTGTTTGTGCTTTTCATTTACGTAACGCTCATAAGCATCATACAAAGCAATGTTTTATTTTTTTTTATACTCTTAAGGTCATAAATTTTTATCTTGGAAAGAACAAATGTTTTCACTCACACCTCAGATCAGGTTTTGGCCTCGTAGCTAAACAATAAGCGTTGCATTCAGACGAGTTTCTCTTCTTTCAAACAAGTTTGTCTTCTTTCTCACCTTTTCCAACTTTTGTTCGTTTTGACTCCTGCTTCAGTTAAGCGCGTAACTAAAACAGCGTCGAGATTCTTGACTGTAAACAGAAGTGTAGTTACCCGGCACATTTCACCACAATATCAAAACAGAGAGACATAGGAATTTACCCTGAATTTATAAGATTGATTAAAATTTTGGGTTTTAGCTCAGTCAGTTTCCAGTTTGGTCTGATGATTTATATATATATATATATATATATATATATATATATATAGACATGTACAAAACATAACACATCCCCTTAACTTGATCGAGAAAGACTGTTGGATGGGAGATCAGCAAACATTTTAGTGGAAACTAAGAGATGACTACATTCCCCATTAAAAATGATGACATGCAAGGGAGATGCAATGGAAGGCAGAAGAGTCCTTTTATGTGTTCGTTATAGTGTTGAACAGCAAGTCCGAAGCATTCCTGCCTGACTATGAGAAGCACCTGTTGCACCAGACGGATTACATTCCTCACAGGTCACTCATTTGGACTGTATGCAGTTCAACCAGTAAAGCTGCTTGTGGCCGTATGAAATATATCTTAGCATATTTCCCTCACCTTTGTTCGGATTTATCGACATCTGTTAGCAATTATGTTTCCACAAATGCAGCTGTGTCCCATTGTTTCTCTTCTGAACAATTAAATTCCAAGAAACGGAACACAAATTGAAGGATCTTTGCATCCGTTTTTGAGTTTGTTCCCCCCCCCCCCCCCCCCATCTTTTTTTTTTATTATTTTTTTAATATTT